TGACAGCGTCTATTTGACTTTTCCAAAAAAGGGAAACGAAAAATTGAAAAACAATCTAGCGAAAAAGAACGTAGACCTGTTGTTTCTTGGAAACGGGTGGAAAGTTGAGGAAATATGCCTATATAACTGCATACACCCACAAAAAAGGGCGTTTCACCCGCACAGGTCTCTACATGTATGAGCGTTTTTCCGCCGTATATTTTTTCCTTTTTTTGTCTCTCTATAACGGGTCCCCACTGGGAAAGCCACCCGTTTGGCAACCCGTCCCACCCCTGTTTCTTCCTCTTAAGACCCTTTCAACTCGACTGTTAATTCGCTACAGCGACTTTTTCCTGCTCTACAACGTAGTGAATTTTCCGTTGCGCCAGGTGTTGTATCCACCTTGAAAGACCGAAGAGGGTAAAACAGAAAAAAAAGAAAAGTTCAAAGGGAAAGAATAAAAAAAAGATACAGCGAAAGTAAGAAAATATTCTGTTGCACGAAATGGGAACTTAAAAAATGAAGAAAAGGGCAGCGTGAACAAAGCTGTTTCGCTGTCTTTGTTCATCCCTGCGCTCATTCACCATCGACTACTGCTTCCTACCGCTCGGTCACCACTCAGTGAACGCGAGAAGTCTGATAGCCCCCCATAACCCCCTTTCAGCGTCTACGCACAAATAGACATGCTGGATACATCGTGCTGCAAAGGGAGAAGTCATAACTTTGGGAGAGCGGCTCGATCTACATTCCACTAAGCACCATCTACATCGCGATCATTTGCTTGGCGCACTAGTGAAAACGTTTTTCTTGCCCTAGTTGGGAAGCACTAGTCACGATTATATTTGCTAAATCGAGGGGTTTTGCACCAACGGGTGTGGAGAAGGGGTAGAAAGACAGCAACGTGCTTGCTTTCGAGAAAGGGAGGGTCCCTTTTTTCTCAGTGAGTGAAAGTGACGAGGTAACTCCGCTAAGAAGCACCGCTGAGGATCATTCCAACTACCACCTCTGATGATCATCCCAATCACCACCGCTAACCCTAGGGAGGATGCATAAAATCGACCAGCTTACAAAAACGCTCAGCGATGAAGACAAAAGACACATTGCAGACCTGATTGAGACGGGGCAGACGGAGCTGCTGACCCATGAAGGAATAAACGAGAGAAACATCTTAGACATCATTAAACAGATCAAAGAATTCGAGCTGGTGTACCCTGATGGGCTGCGAAAATACGTGGAGGGAGCTAAATTTTTGATGAAAAGATCGGAAAAGAAACTGCACAATTTTGAACACTGTGTAATAGAAAGACCAGATAATTTAATAAAGATAAAATTTCCCTGGGATGATATGATGCCCCAATTTGGTGGAGGTAGCAGAGAGGAGAAGAGAATATATGTACTCGATGGGCAGTCTGAGGGGCACTCCCATGGAAAGGAAGACCCTTCTAATGTGTCCTCACGCACGTCGAACCAAAGCATTGAGGAGTACGACACGAATGGCACTTTTCTCCAGGACGGCAGCTTGGTCTGCCCGTCGGAGGCCGAGGGCACTCCGCTTCCCCAAAGGACGCTATCCCCGACAGGGATTACCACCACAGAGATGTTCACCACAGAGATGTCCACGACAGAGATGTCCACAACGGCCATTTCCACCACGTCGCTGTCCTCTTCTTCATCGAATGGAGAAGGTCACGACCCGAATGTGTACCGAAGTAGTTACCTCTCCTTAAGTGATGAGCCAAAGGGGAAGCAACCAAATAAAACAAACACACAGAAGGACGCAACCCAAGCGAGTGGAACCCTCGCACAAATCGACCAGTACCTTCAGTACGAACAGATAGGACTGAGCCAAATAGACAAAGTATGCTTCGTATTGCTAGCCGGGGGGTTGGGCGAACGATTAAATCACAAAGACATAAAATTAAAGCTACTAACAAATTTAGTCTCAGAAAAAACGTACATTGAATATTATTGTAATCATTTGAAGGCTTTCCAAGAGTATATAAAGAGGAGGAAAAACAAAGAGGTTGACATCCCCTTCATTATTATGCTGTCCGATGATACGTATGAGGAGACGGTGACCTTCTTGCGGAGGAACCATTTTTTCTCTCTTAAGGAGAACCAAATGTATTTTTTAAAACAGAAGAAGGTATTATGCTTTAAGGACAGCGAAGCACACATCGATTTTGTATTTCAAAATGGGTGTTTCCTCCTTTCCAGAAAACCACATGGCCATGGGGACATCCATTCTCTCATTCGGAAGCACATTAATTTGGACGTTCTGATAGAAGAAGGATACACGCATTTGTATTTTTTCCAAGACACGAACGCTTTAGCTATGAAGGTTCTCTTTGTGTGTTTGGGCGTGTCCATAGAGAAAGAGCTACATATGAACTTCTTAGCAATTTCGAGGAATCCTGGGGAAGAAATCGGAGCCATCTGCAACTTGACCAACTCGGATAATTGCAGAAGAGTCGTAAACATTGAATACAATTTTTTAGAATCCATCCTCACGGGTTCAGGGGGACAGGAGCTGGTCGATGAGGATGGATTTTCCTTCTTCCCTGGCAACACCAATTGTATTATGTTCCAAATGAGGACGTACAACGAGTTGCTGAAAAGAACCAATGGGGTCGTTCCGGAGTATGTTAATCCGAAGTATGCCGATCAGGAGAGGAAGAATTTTGTTCGGGCCACCCGAGTGGAAAGCATGATGCAGGATTTTGCCTTTTTGTACTACTCTGGGGAGAGGGAAGGACCAGACAACGTGTTAGACGAAGAGGGTGTGAATAAGATGGGAAGTTTTCTCTACAAACCTGGCAGAGTGGGTGTGACTCAGCTAGACAGGTGTCTCTGCTTCTCCGCGGTGAAGAACGATCCCGCCAAGGCGAAGAGAAAAGTGCAAAGCGGCATACACCCAGAATGTATGTTCAGCGCAGAAGCAGACCTCTACTACAGCAACTGCGCCTTTTTAGAGCTAGCCTGTTTGTACAATCGGAAGTTGTTTCTCTTGGACGATTTGGAGATGAAGACATTCAGCGGCGTTCGCTATTTCCTCCCTCCCAAGGTTTTATTAGAACCGCAATTTGCCTTTACCCTAACGGATGTGATAAAAAAAGTAAGAGGAAATATATGCATTAGGAGGAACTCTACCCTGTGGGTGAAGTCAGATGCGCTGATTCGAAATTTAAATCTGGACGGGGCACTAATCATTGGAGGGGGTAACTGTGAAGACAGCGGTGGCCTCCCTGTTGTGTTGGAAGAGAACCTTTCCGTGCGGAACAGGGGGGATGAGCTGGTGCCCCTTTCGTACACTAGGGAAGAGAACTCCGAGCAGCTCCAAATAAGGGGCTATAAGTTAGTAAAAAGGGAGGTCCTAATGATAAGCAGGTAGCGGTGAACGGGGAAAGAAAGGGGCGGCATTTAAATGAGTTTCCTTTTTTCATTCATTTTGTGGGAGCCCTTTTTCCCGGATGGATACCCCACCGATGTGACGTTTTATGTGTTCCCTTAAGTAGTCATGTCACCCCCCTCACCTCGCCGCCCTAACTGGACAAACGGTGTGTACACACAGACGCGTTGTTGCGTATGCATGGGTATGAGCAAAACCTTTTCCATTTTTTCCGCCATCTTGTTTGACTTACGCAAAGTGGACACTACCTATTGTGTGTGGAAGCTCCACCACGGATCAACGGCAGGGAAGCTTCCCTATGGATATCCTGGGTCCAACGAATTTTTCCGTTTGTCCGATTTACACTCTGTTAGATTATTTTTATTTAATGTTCCAGGATGAGTCGGAAGGGTAAGGATGGGCAGAATGAAAAAAAAAAGAGAAAAGGACGTAGAAGGGGGAAGTGCAGTGAGAGAACACAGCTATGGCGGAGATAAAATTAATGGACGAGTGGAGGGTGTGTGTGTGGGAGGGGGGCTCCATAAGACGGCTGGCCGGAGATGCACCTCCCCTCTGTATGAACCAAAACGTCGTTCAGGAGTGAGCACATAGGTATGTATAAACAGAGGTATGTATAGATGGAGGTATGTATAAATATACGTATGTGTACATATTTGTGTGTATGTATGTGCACGTCGGGAGGTGGAAATTGCTTCAGACAGGAACTTAAAAGGTTATGGCGCGGGATCTTCTGTACCCATGTAACTGGTCACACGTGCATCTCTCCGCGCGTGTATCCTACGTGCTCATCTTGGTACGATGGGCCATCTAGAGCAGTCAGAGACAGATGTCTTCGCACGGGTATCCTCGTCGCCATCGGAATGTCTGCAACTGTGAATTGTGCCCTGTAACCCTCGGGGGGGACAGAAACACACAGACAGAGAGGTAGCAGGGGAGAAAAATAAAAAATAGAAAATAAAAGAATAAAAAAAATGCCAAAGAGAATCACCGTTTGGTAATTATGTGCCAGAGGATAGGACTACATGTGTGCACCACCACTTTGCTTTTTGGGAATGCCGACGAATGGTGTGGCGTGCCGCCTAGGGCGAGGAGAGGGAAAAAGGGCCTTGCCACAACGAATTCAACATGGAGATAATAACAGTAGTGTTTCCCGTTTCGGCTGCTACTGCGGTGGCGCATGATAAGTAGCCGAAGCGGGGGGACCAGAAAGCCAAACTCCTCTTCGACGGCTTGTGGAGAAGCCATAGGTGTAGAGTGCACCGCAGCGTCGGGCTGGATAGGTCAGCGTGCCAAAATTTGCTGCTCAGTGGGGGCGGAAAAAAGGGAGCGCCCATAAGGAGGTGCTGCACGGCTGTACAGTCGTAGACTTCCTTCGGGGGGCATAAGATAATGGTGGACCCAATTTGGTGGATGGTGAAAAAAAAAAGAAGCCACGTAAATGTTGCCAAAACGCTTTTTGCGCAGTGAAAATTGAAATTAATTCTTTTTCTTCTTCTTCCTCTTGTTGTATCCTTCTTCGTCGTCGCTTTTGTAGGCGAATCGCTTTTTGTCGTCTGGAGGGGGGGAAGGGGAAAAAAAAAATAAGAAGCCGTCAGAGAGAGGTTATATATCATGTGAGGCTACTGACCCATTTGCCGATCAGCCCACTGGCCCCTCACGTACGCGCGTGTTCCTCGGCGTACCCTTTTTGGCCCGCTCCTCGAGCTCGTCCCAAGAGAGCCCCTCATCCTCGGAATCTTCCTCGACTTCCCCCTCGCCGTCGCTCTCCGTGGCGAGGCTCTCGTCTTCGCTGTCATCGTAATCGCTGTCGTCCTCGGCGCTCTGCAGAGTGGGGTGGAAAACGCACACAGAAAGAGGTGAGCAAGGGTGAAAGAAGTGGTTATCACTGCAGGTGGAAGATTCGCACGGCCGCTATACGGTGCGATCCGCAGCTGCCGCTACGCCCTCGTCGCTTCTTACCAGGTCGGACTCGTCCACCTCGTACTCATCGTCCTCATCCTCGTCCTCCGCGGACTGCTCGTCGTCGTCGTCCTCCTGGTCGCCGAGGAACCCATCGAACCCCTTGGAGTTAACAAACGAGTCAATATCGGCTAAGATGGTCTTCAAAATGTTTCCCCACTGGAGGTTGTTCTTCCCCTCATAGTAGACAATGTCGATGGTGGTAAGCCACTTCTTAATGGTGTCAATATATTCCGTGGGAATGACATCAATGCGTTTGACAGGCTTGGTGTAGTCCTTAAATACGAATATCATATCGAAGTTACGGAGGCCGTGGTGAATCCTCTCGAGGGAGGCAATTTCGATGTCTTCAACGGAGAGGATGAAAGGTGGCCACTCGACAAGGTGGTTAATGGTGTTTGCTGTGACAAAGATTTCGACGTTGCTTTTGTTTGGGACTCCAGAGAAGGTAAGTTCAGGGTAGGGAATCTCAAATTCGATCTTAGAGATATCTTGCATTTGCTGTACGAAGTTTTTAAAGATCAAGTTGAGTCTATTTTTTTGCTCTCTTTCTTTCATTTCGTCATGCATTTCGTCTGGATCGTATACGTTCCTTGCCTTGGCTCGATCGAGATCATCAATCTGTGTTCCCGCTTCGCAGTAGAACTGCACATCGAGTGTCTTTTTCTTTCCCACCATGATGTATCGCTTCAAGTGGAAGTGAATCAGAATGATTAGTTGCCCATCGGAAGGTTGATAAAAGGCATACTTTATGTCATCAAAGAGGATATCAATATATTCCGTTGTTCCTCGAGAGTTCGCTGAGTATCTAAGTCCATTGGTGTGGAGCTCCAATGTGCCTAAGATTTTCCTTCCTGTGAATATGTTTGGTCTGGTCATAAGGTCTCTAAGAATGATTCTTCTTCCACTTTTATTGAGAACGAGTTTCTCTTGAGCATGCTTCGGATCATTAACATCAGCTTCTACCTCTTTCTGCTTGACCTGCTTAATGAGCTCCTTCACTTGTTTGACAATATTCTGGAAATGCTTCTCATCATTCGATTTAAATATGAGCTCTTTGATGTACATTTCTTTTTCCTGCAAGGTGGGGAACGTATTGAAGTCTGCTTTTAGCACCCCTTGGTTTCCTGGGACTTGGAAGTTTATGCGGAGAACGAAGATATCATTGTTGTCCTCATAATTGGAGCTAAGATTTTTGATAGTAGACACGTGGAATGGAATGTGAGCCCCGTTGATGGGGAGTAAAATACACTCGTGTTTATTGTCTACACATATTATGTTTGGTCTTAAATCTCTAGGAAGTAGATCGGTATCGTTATATGCTTTTACATCCTCCAATTTTTTCACATTTTTTTTATTTGGATCTTTATAATCGCTAGTCCCTTTAGAGAATCGAAATTTAATTTCGTTGATTTTTTTCTCCTTCAGTTCACTTTGTCTTTTGTTCAGCTCTTCCATTTCTTGTTCATTTGTGTGTGCGAGGGAGTTTTTGTTTCTCCTCCTGAGTCTGTCCGAGACGATAACACTAGCTGCGTTGTTTAGAATGCTGGCAGAGATGCCCGTTTTTTTTTTGCTAAATTCTCCATTTTGCTCCTTCTTTTCACTTTTCACCTTATTCTCATCTTCGTCTTCGCTTTTGCTATCCTCCAGCTCGTACGAAATGGTGTTGATTTCTTTGCTGATGGAGTCGGTTAGGATGCTGATTTCTCCTTCCTCATTAATGTACACCGTGTCGCTGATCCAGATGGCTAAATTGTTCTTGTCATTCCCAGGCACGTTCTCAAATCCGACGGATAAATTGTAGGACGTATTCTTCTCAATCATCCCAGTGTTGTTACTTTCGGTGATGAGAAAATCGTTCTCCATAAATTCGATTCCAATGACATGTCCAATACATTTGACGAAGTAATCCTCTACAGGGACCCCACTCAATGTTGGGTAATCCTTCTTGTTTTTCTTTACGAAGGTAATGGCCTTTTTGTACACGTCTGCATATGTGTTCTGCACCTGGAGGCATTCCTTAATGACGTATTTTTCGATGGCCAAGGCGAAGCTGTATAGCTCCTTATGCTGCGTCTTCGCATTTAGAAGAAGTGTCCTGTTAACATTTGAGCAGAGCTCCTTATATTTGACACCCACCCCGACGAGGATCGTCCCCTCATTCTGGGAGAGGTAACTCTTATTGTTGCTATTTTTGTAGCTCAAGCTGAACTGATTTCCACTCTGCACATTGCTGTAAATGACATCGATGTCGTCGATATCTACCTTAAGTTTTTCCTTCAATTTTAAAACACACTTTTTATTTTCGTGAAACTTTAACGCTTTTTCTTTTATCTTGTCGTGACTCTGGAACTCCTCACTGTCTAATGCATTCTCGATTGTCGTTATTAAGATATTTTTTAAAATGATACAAGCAATATCGCTTCCACTCTTCTGGATCTTCATATCCGACTCCGATCGGAAGTTCAACAAAAACTTCAATTCTTTGTTTACCTCTACCTGTGCCATGTCTAAACTTTTAACAAAACTGTAACAACTTTCGAAGAAACTTCCCGTGGCATCTTTATCTTTCAGAATGGCTATTTCTTCCGTTCCTGCCTCTTTTATCATTTTTTTTATCTGAATGAAATTTTCCCTATTGTCATTGCTTCTTTCCATCACTTGGACGTTTTCCATATTGTCCAACAACGGCTGCAAAAACTTCTTCTTTTTATCACTCGTTAGGATGATTAGCCTTTCCTTTTTTAGGAAAAGAAAAAACGTCTCTGTGAGCTGGTAGCCCATGAGCCACATCTGAAACTGCTCTTGCGTCGTCGCATTTTCCTCCTTGCTGGACTTCCCCGACAGTACACAGAATGCATTGCTCTGCGAGAAGCTTTTGTTTTCCGAATTCGCCCAAAACGAGAATACCAGCTTTAACTTCGCCTTGGCGTTCTCGATGTCCAGCGATTCGTTCATTATGGGGGAAGAAGTGGAGGGGTATAGCGGTGAAGAGGTATAGCGGTGAAGAGGTATAGCGGTGAAGAGGTATAGCGGTGAAGAGGTGCAAAACTGGAGAAGTGCAGCGCTGCAGAGGAGGCGTGCTTTCCGAATAGACGATAAGCGGCGTGGCCGGCGCGGTCAGCACAGTTGGAAGCTTCTTCCGTGGACACGTGGTCTGCTCCTATTCGCGGGTTGTCCCTTTTTGGCGCATCCACGTATATCTGGGCACAGGGACAGGTCGGATGGACGGACGCTTTGAAAGCCTTGTTGAGTTGTTTCAACCGAGCAGCGTACCGATAACTTCACCCTCTACCCTGTGGATTAAATAAGTGAACTTCGGAATGTTATGCTCACTTGTGCGCCCCCTACTGAATCTGCTCGTGAGTCACTCCACTTCCGCTTGCTTCTATTCTCAGCGCTACACTCACCGAGGCGTACCCTGCATATGCCACCTCTTTCACGTTAGGCGGGCAGGGGGGGCATATTTCGTCGCTTCCGCTCTACCGTACCCTTCGGCTTGCGCTTTTCCTGTGGTTTTCCCCACCGTTCGGCTTGCACCTTTCCTGTTGTTTTCGACACCTTCTTGGCTTCCCCTTTTTCGCTCAACCGTTCGGCGTGCTCTCCCTCCGCTTGGGTAGTTACTTTGAGGAGCGAATTGGAAGGGTAGCTTCACTTCCTCGGCGATTCACCACGAGAGAGATCTCCTTATTCGCTGGTGTAAAATGCAAAGGGGGGAAGTTTCAAAATGCCGAATCTAATTAGCACATTGGGGAGAAAAAAAAAAAAAGAAAAAAAAAACAAAAAGTAAATATTTTCTCTTTCTCAAAAGGGAATAAAATATGGGAGAAAACAAATGACCAGTTGGAGATTTGTGAAAAAAAAAAAAAAATTTTCTTGATCGACTTCTTGGTTGATTTATACGGCCCTGCCCTGCTCATGTGCAAACGCATACACGCATGTGCAAGTTCATGTGAGCATATTTTTTCACGCGGGCATGACCTATACATCTCCCCTCACAGATGCTTGCTTTACGGCGTACGAATTTCTATACGTATGTGCGCACGGGTAGGGGGACTACAAAAATGGGCACTTCCCCATATGCCAAGTGGCGAAGTGACGAAGGCGGAAGAAGAAGCTCCCCGTGTGAGAGAGATGCCTATGTGAAGGCAAACGGCTTAGAGATGTAACCCACGCGGTGTCACTCGTTTCTAGCCTTAAAGGGGTGTGTGCTGTGCGAAGGTAGATGCGGGGAATGCTCGAATGCACTGAGCTGGGGAGAGGGGGGTTCTAAATGAGATCGAGAGGAATACGCTCGAGTTGAGTGTGACACGTTTCTAGCGTGTGACTTGTTTGCCAGGTGTGGCACATCTGCCGGGTGTTCCGCACGTTGTGTCGCGCCAAACATATTTATCTTACGTTTTTTTTCACTCGGCTTCCTTCCTCGCTGCGCTTATCTTTTCGCGACTGTCTTAGCCAGCACGACATCACGGGGGTTAACTTTTTTTTTTTTTTTTTCTTTGGACTTTCCCCTGCTCCATTGACTTGGTGTCTCGGATATCCATTTAATATTGATTTTGCCACTTAAGTACAGCGCTTCCCCTGTGCGAGCACGTCAGAGGGATGGAGACCAACCAAACGTATCCACATGGGGATGCCAGCAGCAGATGAACATACACACGTGTGTATGCATATGGGTATATTTGCATGTTTGTACGAACGTAGGGTTTCTCTCGCTGCGCCTGTGCCGGTCCTTGCGGAGTGTACTTTGCCAAGTGTCACTCCCTAGAAAGTGGAAGAACCCCCCTCATGAGCGAATGCCATGGTAGCTTCATCACTACACACACAAGACAGACCTCTTTGGAGTGAGGAGAAATCCAGAAGAATTTTAAAAAAAAGAGAAAAAAAAAAAGAAAAAGAAAAAAGACGAGTATTTCTTGTCAGCTCAACACTGAAGAGGTCACTGCAGCGTGTTATACTGGAATGCCCATTTTGGGCCCATTTGTGCCTTGAGATGACATTCACTTTAACCACAATTTTGTTTAACCCATTTTGCTTTCCCATGTATGGCGCTCAGGAAAATAACAGAGTTGTACATCGCGTGGCAGGGGCCTCCTTCGAAATTGCCGCTCATAAAAAGTTCAGATGGACACCCCCCCTTTTGCGCATTACCGAGGAGGTCACTCTGCGAAAGGCCTATTCGAGATGTGCCTGTGCGGTGGCACACCATTATACCATTCTGATGGAGGAACCTCAAATGGATAGTGCCCCCCAGTAGTTCATAATATCTGTGTGGGGAGATTAACCCGAATGGTCCCTTAGTTTCGTATGTTCCTCCGCCCCCCTACACACAAAGACACACAAACGCAGCCTTCTAGTTCTGTGTACGCAGGCGATCCATAATGTCTGCACTGATTGCAAACTTGCACCGTAAAACTGGAAGGAGTCATCTGAAACATGTTACCTAAACTTAAAGACAGGTCGATGTGCTTGCTGATATACTGGCTGCTCTGCACTTATGTATGGAACCGCTTTGCATTTCTCAAATGAGGGTGGAGAACAGTTCGACCGCGTCGAGGCGATGAAAATTCAGCAGCCCACCACTTCGCGACCAATTCGTCAGGGCGTGGTAAGGTCTACATAGGCGGGTGCAATTTTACGAATGAACCATTCAGCAGGTTTTTTTTTTTATTATTTTTTTTCTTGCCCCGTGTGTTACCCAAACTGGTGGGAACGCAGGGTTACTCATTTCTTCCAAAAAAATAGGGCAGCCGAGTTTCCCGGGTTATAAGCAAAATAGGCGCACCGTTGGGACAGGATTTGTAGGGAACTTATGCGATTGCGTAGATGGGGGTTTACATAAGAACGGGTACATGCGCTGCTTCCCACAGATGGGAATATTCCCCTTTCACCGTGGCGGGGTGTAATGTAATTTTTTTTACAAACGCCTCTCGATCCCTTCGCCCAGACGGCCAAACATACGTACATACATATATGCCGCTTAGGTACCGTGGCTTTCACCATTTTGGTATATGCTTTAGGGCGAACTGTGTGGCCAATCAAAGGTAACATAACGCTCTATGGTACCTTCTCATCTGGTGAGCTAATATAAAGTGCTACTTTCGCAGGGGAAGGTTGCTTAACCGGATGTGTGCTTACCAATCATGCGCCACCGTTGACTGCATGTGCTCAGCCTCTCCGGGGAAGGGGTGGAAGGGGAGGCGTCTCCAACATTCTTACGTGCAATGCGTATGTCCTTTCAGAATCCCGTTTATCCACGACGCGTTCTGCACGATGCACATTTTTTCCCGGCAACGATTTGTTTCCCTCATTTTGGCAAAAGAAAAAAAAAAAAATTACCAATTTGTATCTCAGCTGGAGTAAAAAAAAGGGGATGACTCCCCACTTGACGATATGATTCAATTTTACCTGATGAGGGACAAGGGAAAATCCCCAAGCTGGCACGATGCATATGTGCCATGCAGACGTCCATACAACGGTGTGCGTTTTAATAATTGCTCCTTCCCTGCCCCCCCCTAACATGCATGCAGCATGAGTGTATATATAAAGGCAAACGTAATCACAACTTGTATGGTATACATGCATGTGCCTACTGCAAAACCCCTCACCTGATACTCCTATCACACGTACAGAGCGCACTCATGTTAACTTCCTCCCCTACACCACCGCCTGCATTCGTCGCTGTCAGAATTAGAGGTTACATACGAGTTATGCTCTTTGGGTAAGGGCAGAAGAGGGGGCCATAATTCTGTTGAACCAAAGAGCGGCGACGGATTCGACAGAAGTTTGATGTGCCCGTTGTGGGTACTACTCCTTTTTTTATGCGCACGGGTTTATCTCCATGCAGTTATGCTTATACATTTTCTTTTTTTTTTTGGGCGCCAACCCGCCACCCCCAAAAATGAGCGTGGCAATTTTAAGCAGGCGCTTACAGAAAAGGCTGAACCCGCAAGGATATGCGGATGCTTTCTAAATGTCAACTCGAATATCATGAGAGAAGAATACCTCCGGGTACGATCCATTGCCATACGCACCAAGCCAAGCTAGGCTTGATAATGAGTTGCCTACATGACAGCAGCAGGGATTGTAAAAAAAAAAAAAAAAAACACCCGCGCAGTGCGAGCTGTTGCTCTTTTTTTCGACCTGCTATAAAAAAGAGGGAACTACAAATAAAAATGACGAAGCGTGATTCGGTGTCAGCCAAGTAGTCAACAGCGGAGAAACAAGGAAAAAAAAAGAAACACAAAAAGGCAAAAAAAAAAGGGAAAACGAAAAAGTGAAGCAATAAAACGGAATGCAAAAAAGAAAACGGAAAAATACGAAATAGAAAATACCAAAAAGGAAACGCAAAAGTACGAAATACAAATGCGAAGGGAATAAAAAAATTAGGGGGAAGTATAAGCAACTTGCCATTTATTCACGCCCCTCTTTTTACCAAAGCATAGTTTTATTTGAAGTTTTAAAAACGAATTGCATAGATCTGTTTTTTTTTTTCCCCAATTGTCATCGAAAAAACGTAGTAGAACGAACTTATCTACATAGGCCTTTGCGGCCAACCGCTAGCTGCAGTTCGCCAGTTTTGAGAAGCTACAACGTTGCGTTTACATCAGGCGCATACGCGAGAGAGAGGAAGAGGCAGAAAGAGAACACGCTGGTTCTGTTCCCGCGACGGTGACAGTTCTACTCTATACATGGGCACGTAACTGGTTAGTCGTCTACCCGCTTCCCCGCGCATACGTTTGGCTAAGCTGCCTGGGGACTAATCAAGTGGCAATCCCGGCACGACTGAAGGCGCAACAGAAGGGTAGGCAAAAAACGCAGAAGGAAACGTCAGGGGAAGCGCGAAAGGAAGCACAGAAGATAAAGTAAAGGGGAACAGGACAGCCACGTAAAACGAAACGGGTCAACAACGTGAAAGGAAGCGGGATCGCAACGTGAAAGATAACGTGAACGCAGCGCGGAGTGGCCAGATCGCCGACCACCCAAAGTATACTCGACGCACGTGTGCATCCATCTCGCGTGCCCCCACGGGAACTGCGCATAACACCAATTGCTCTTAACGACCAAAGAAAACAAGTACACGAAAATGTCCATGCGTGAGAGCATTTCGCGCGTTTATGTGGGAAACCTGCCGTCTCACGTAACGCCAAGAGACGTAGAAAATGAATTTCGGAAATATGGAACCATACTAAAGTGTGACGTGAAAAAAACTGTTTCAGGAGCTGCCTTTGCCTTTATCGAATTCGAAGATGTGAGGGATGCAGCGGATGCCATAAAAGAAAAAGACGGGTCTGATTTTGGGGGTAATAAGTTAAGGGTCGAAGTTCCTTTTAACGCCAGGGATAATGGGAAGTACTACTCCAAAGGGGGTAGAGGGATGATGGGCAGGGGAATGAGGTCCAGGAGAGGCAGATACGTCGTTGAGGTAACACAAAAAAAGAGATAATAGAGAAATGCCACTTTGTGCATCGTTAACGTGTAGCACTTACTTTTTATTTACTTCCATATTGGCGCATTAGCGATAGTGCCCATGCTGCCACACCTCACAGCTGTACGAAGCACACCGCTCTACAAAGCGCGTCTTCACACTCGTCTCGCTTTACCCATCCACGTGCAGGTCAGCGGACTGCCCCTCTCAGGCAGCTGGCAAGATTTGAAGGACCATCTGAGGGAAGCAGGAGAGTGCGGCCACGCAGACGTTTTTAAAAACGGGCTTGGCGAAGTGTCCTTTTTCAACAAGGAAGACATGCTTGAAGCGATTGAAAAATTTAACGGATCTACATTTAGGTCCCATGAAGGGGAAAAATCCAAAATAACAATCAGACAGAAAAAAACATCGTGGCACCGGGAAGATGGAGGGTATGGCAGATACGGTAGCAGGAATAGGAGCTATTCTAGCAGGAGCTACTCCAGGAGCGGTAAAAGGTCCTACACCAGAAGTAGAAGCTACAGTAGCAGAAGCTACAGCAGGAGCAGAAGTAGAAGCCGAAGTGGAAGTCGGAGCAGAAGCAAGAGTAGAAGCAGAACGTCTAGCAGCAGCAGAAGTAGAAGCATGGATAGAAGAAGAGACGCATATGATAAGAAAAGAAGTTACTCCAAAAGTCTGTCTTACCAAGAAAGAAAAAAAAATAACCGATCCGGATCAAAATCTGTATCCAAATCTGGATCTAGGTCCCGTTCCAGATCCTCCTCTTGGTCCCGTAAGAGAAGACATTAGTCTCCTTTGTATCAGCTGTGGATGAGAAGAAGATTCTCTCGGAACGGTGCATATCGACTTGCAATTTGTATACTGTCGTTCTAAATCTCTAGGTGTGCAATGCCCATGGGTGTATTTGTTCCCATGCGTCCTTGTCTGTACTTATATGTTCGCGGAATGAGGAAGCTTATCGTTGTGATTCGTCCCACTCGCGTGCTTATCTTAAATTTCGTGTTTCTTCCCCTTTAACATTATTCTTAAGGCTATCCTCTTCATAACGCAATTTAGCAGGTATGCTATATCTGCACACACATGGGCGTACATGTTATAGAAATGTGTGCCCCTTCCCTCAGTTCACTTCACTGTCGAGGTGCATGATTGCTTTTATTTTATCATATTTTATTCTACTTTATTCTACTTTATTTTATTTATTTATTTTTTTCTTTTTTTTAGCCACCCATCTACATATTTATGTGTTCCCCTCCCCCTTCACTGTGTGTACATGTGCGCATAGTGGGACACACCTGTCCATGTAAATATGAGCATATGCGTATGTTTGCATGTACGCCTGTAAACGTATGCTGCCTTCAAGCGGGCAAACACCACAGGGACAAGTTGCCGCGCACCCCATGAACTGTTTTATTAATTTTTTTTAAATACTTATTTATAAATAAAATGTAGCAAAATAAGATATGGCGAAATAAAGTGTAGAAAAATAAAACAACCAGTTGTTTTTAATATATTTTTTTAAAATGATTACACGCCCAATTTATATGCCAATCAGTGATTTCCGCATTACACGCAGCCCCTCACGAGAGCCAGAATGCTAAACCCTGGGATCTGATAGGAAAAAAAAAAAAAATCCCCCCCTTTTAATGTAGACAAAAATATACGGGCGCATACCCAGTGTTACACCATAAGACAAATGCATGACGACACTACGGTGGAGAAACTGTTACAATGGCTGCTTCATATTGGAAAAAATCACCCACATGGACCTCTAATGGAAAGGATGTTTGGGCCTGGATTCCGCCTCAACAGTTGCAAGAAAAAAGAATATTAATTGTCTTTTTCCCTTCCTTCACCATTTTCAAGATAGCCGTTTTCTGTCTAACATCTTCGAATAGGGACGTTTTACTGCATCCAAACGGGATGGATTAATCTGCCTGGGTATGGCCCCCCTGGGAGAGCATGCACGCATACGTACGTTTTTATATCTATACATGCCACGAGCCAATATGTCAATCTGCATACATCTCCGAATTTATGAAATTTCCCTTGTTAATACAGCCACCAAGTAGTTAGCCATTTTTTGATATTATCATCGTTATTGTTATTGTTGTTTTTGTTGCCATTATTGTTATTGTTGTTATTGTTGTTATAGTTGTTATTATTGTTATTATTGTTATTACTGTTATTGTTGTTATTGTTATTCTTATTGTTGTTATTGTCGTTATTGTTATTATTGTTATTCTT